GACATTCTTTTGTTTCACAACTATCTATAGATGGCAGGGCAATCTTCTTTCCAATGATAACGCCATATGAAACATGTACAGGAGAGAAAAACACGGCTTCAAAACGATAAATCTCATTCACGTAACGAAAAAAAAAAATGAGTCACTACACATACACTACGGGACCTTCTCTTAGTCTGCATCACTCTATATGATGTCTAAGAAAAACACTTTGTAAGTCTAGCAACAGATAACATAAGACTAGCTTTACTGCACACTGTTAGATGGATGTGCCCTGCACTCATACCTTTCACATTCACACAAACTAAGAGTCTAGGACTACTAGCTATGGTTAGCAACACCACCATCTCGTAATGTTATCTTGCTTGGCTATGGGTAAACACTGCAGCAAATTTGTGTTTCTAACTTCGCACACTTGTGTCTCTCACAGTTGTTAGTACAATCATCAGTCAGATCACAAAGCAGAAATTCTGCTACATCCAGTTAGATAGTTACCAAACTTTGACAAAGAGCTTCCTAAGCTGTTACACGAGTATAGACTCCTAAAAGAAACTCAAATCATTATACAATAAAAACTCTAAGTTGGACCAACTATAGCTGCACAAGACTATATTCTACATTACTGGCCACACTAATGTAAAACAACAAAAATATATTAATGTACTCTATATATCTTCACAAAAAGTCTAATAACATATTGTATTAAGGATATGGCTAACTTTTTTTGGTTTACTCGCCCCACGCTAGATGGCAGCAGCGTCGTTCCTTCTCAGGGTTGCAGAAGAGGTGAGGGGCAGCCATTTCGAAACTTCTTCTCCCTTTCCTATTGTATTTTGCTTCATTTTCGTTCCTTTTTAGTTCAAGTCCAACTGATGAATATTTTGCTTCTCACTGGGTCGGTCAGGAGAATCCATAACAGTGTTCTGTCTCTTTTTCAAATCTTTGTTGACTGAGAAGTGTGAGTACTGAGTGGTCAGTGTACAATGTGTGTTTAGTGAGAGACTGTGTTGAATGTGAAGGCTACTATCTGGAGTGTGTCACCTCAGTTGGATTGGTATAACTGCCCTTCCTTTCATAAAATTAAAAATTCTCAGAAGTTCATTAGGAAGCCCCTACCGAATGGCTTCGGCCTACAATCTGCCTTATCACGAAATTTAGGCATGTAAATTACTTTAAGTATACATTTCACCATCTTGCAATACGCTTAAAATGTAATTCATCAAATACTACATACATATACATATGTATTTATCAGAAATTACAATTCTTTATCAGATAATAAAATACTGATAAATTAAAGTCAATTTCCCATGGAATGAAAGCTTCAGACCCATAGTTACTTTTCATTTTGTCTTATATGCAATTTTGTTAAAATTATCAAAATGTTTAGCTCACATGAAGAGCAACTTTCTTCCACAGTAATCAAGTAAACGCAGGACTGATACCAGAACTCATATAACTGTTATGTCTGATGTGAATAAAATGATCTGCACAGCCGATTACTGTATTCATCTGACCCATCCATAAGCAACACAAATGGGAGACTATACAGATAGCTACCTTAAACAGGATATTATATTCTACAATTAACAGTACTAACCTATAACCCACAATGCGGGTAATACAATACAAACAACAGAAGAAACCACCATTTTAAGTCCATTAAGTTATGGAAAGCAGAAAATCAGGCAAGGCCAAACAACGCTTAGGAGCTGCTTACATACGGTCCTATATTTTCGTCATTTTCCAGCGTCTCCTTCCTACTTAAGATATAAAACGTTTCAGAAGCCTCCTTTGCTTCCCGTGACCTGACTACGGACAGAGATCAGCGCCACCTAACCGTCCAGTACATTAAGTTCAGCACTGTTACCTGATGACGAAAGCAGAGTCGGATTCCAAAATACTATGTGCCTTTGACCAAAAACGAGAAAAGAAAAATGTCTGATGGATATGTAAAGTAAAAAAAAAAAAGTAAAGCTATCTCTGTACCAGGCCGTGAAGGCCCATAGGGTCCCACATTATCTAGACAATCGGCTCAAATATGGCGGTAAGGTTGTCAGCCTTACGCGCCGGCCGCGCTTTACTCCCCAGGAAAATTATTTATTTAATTCCTGGTACTCATTTCTGTTAGAGGCTGAGTCGATCCCAGGGCCATAGTGTGGCTGGAAGGATTAGGTCAATTGAAAAAATCCAATGACCTCATCGGGACTTGAACCCGCGACCTTCCGGCTTGTAGCATAGTGCCTCAACCACTATGCTACCGCATGTCAATTTAATATTACAACTTAGTCACAAACTTTTAAACTCGGCTGCTTTTGGTTTATATAAATAAAGGTACAGGGCTTAATCCTTGTATGCCTTCCGATAAATTTTTTTCAATTAGTTAACTTACAACATTGCCCCAGCTAAAGTGCGCTGTTGAAAGAAATACAGAAATATGACTGTGAATGATGAACTTGGAAAACACTGTTTTTTATAGTCAACATTACTTGTTCCCGGCCAGGATTTGAAACAGGCAGAGTATAACCCCCCCCCCCATGCAAGTCAAAAGTTACCACTCTAACAGTGTAACTTATTTTGTAATTTTCATTTCATGCATCCTTATTACAACCGTCACAACACAACTACATCAAGAAGTAACGGTTTTTATTAACTTAATGAAAGTGACACCTGGTTATTGAATTGTATTTAGAACTCAGAACAGTGTAATCTATAATTTTAATGTCAAATATAAAAGATTATGTATATATTACAAATTTTACAAATATAAATCACGTTTTATCTGTTGGATAATAGCGGTTGGTGTACATGCACGACTGTGAACATAACCTAATTCAACCTAACCTTAACTGTCAAAGGACGTATTATAATTTATTTGCGTCTGTAACCCAATATATATATATATATATATTTCTAACGAGGCAAGGTTAAATTTGATAGGAAACACAAGTTCTTGCTCTTAATAGTTCTGTTAAATTCGGGAGTGGGTTCCTTTGAAAATCAACTAACAAATCTAACCCGATTTATATACAAACACAAACAATATAGCAGGCCGATATGAATGCTGATCTTAAAATGCAAAATACTTATTTTGTGCTTATATGTTGTAAAAAGAAAATCGGTTATATGTGAGCAGGAGGGTGAACCTCTGAAGCAGCACATCGTGTTTGGCCGAACCTGAAATATCCAAACCATCTACAGGTTGTACCGGTTCCAACTGTCTAATCCAGGCACTAGAATTATTCATCTACTACACTGTCTTGGAGCACACACAGCACATGATAAATACCGAGGTTTTGTTAACGTCGGTTAGGACTGTTTTGTTCTTATGGCGAAGAATTACAGAAATAAATTTTATACACTTTTTACTTGTTTATAACACAGAGAGCATGTTATGTTCTTTTAATCAAAGCAGACATGCTAAAAATATATCGATAAATAAAATTATGTGACCGTCATAGCCTAAAAATTTAGTGCTAAAGAGAATTCTGTACAATAAACAAATTTCATGGGTTTAAATACAAATATAATCTGTTATAACTTCAGTGAAGATGATTTCGGAAACTCCGAACCGATGTCCCACGCACGAGCGGTTCATCGAATTTATTTTCCTGTTCTTACTGAAGCAGGTAGGTCCCGCGACTTGATGTTAAAGATAAACTTCAGAGAATTTAGGGAAGTATATGAACACATCTGTATTATTAAATCTCTATAGTATCACATAATATATGTGATATGTTGTGTGTAAGCATGTGTATTCTTACAAGTAGGACAAGATCCCTACAACGGAAGCAGAATAATTTTGTCAGGAGAAATGTTTTGCCTAGCATAAATTTGTTATAGTAAACTCATAGCTGCTTTGCAATCTGTCCTCTTAAAATTTGAAATCGTATCTTATTCTTTACCAACTCATTAAACATTGAAGAAATCAGTCTTCTGGGATGTGGCACCGTGTAGATGTGGTGTTAACCGACGTTTCGAAGGAACGTGTCGCCTCCGGTACAAGCAGTGTGCTTGTACCGGTTCTCACGGTCTCTTCGCTTGAGGATTTATTATTTTTCCTTCTACTCTGAAGATGGAGGCGATACGTTCCTTCGAAACGTCGGTTAACACCACATCTACACGGTGCCACATCTCAGAAGACTGCTTTGTTCATAGTCACCGCCGTAAAAACCTCAGATCTTACATATCATTAAACATTATTTTAAAAATCGAACACATCTTAACAGATCGCCTGGTACTATGTGGCAGAGATGTGTTTAAATGACAGCGGACAAGAGAGAGTTGTTTTGTAATTTTCCCTCGCAAAATTCGGCCGTGATCGTGTTAATCAGGCATCTAGTACCTACAAGAGGCGAGGGTTTCATTATATCACCGCGGATATGATCAAAATGGTGATATGTAATATGGCCTTAAGTGTTGTCCGAACCGACATAAAACACACGGCATTACTGTCTAAATCTATTGAATCAATACAAGTAGAGTTAAAATAACAAACCTATATAAATACGTGGTTCCAAAGCAGCATACATCAACACGGAGTCATTCAATTCAGTTATAGTCGTGCCCAAATTCGGACTGACCATTTTTAATACAAGTCTGCATTCAGTATTTGACATGCTGTCTGCAGAAAGACTAATCTATTCTAATGGTTAAGTAAAACGGATTAATTCATTTTTAACGTTCGAGAGCTGTAGTAACGCCAATGCTATAGTTCACAAAAATACACGAGTTATATAAAAATATAATACAGTATTTAAGAAACACACATAGTAACGGTTAGGTAAGAAAACAAATGATAGTAGGGAACATACAAAATGAAAAGGTACAAAAGAATTAAAGTCTGACTAAGTTGTAAGACCACGGAAGTGAAGTTTCTGGATATAACACACAGTATTTAAGGTAAACAGCAATAATGCTAAAAACAGTTTCCTAGAAACTCAAAGTAATATGCAAGGCGAAGGCTTTAGTCTCATCCTGCAAACTATTGCATGGCTTACCAGCCGCTACGTTCGGGGGGAGACATCTGGCGGGAGAAGCCCGAACACTGCTCCTCGCCCTACCAATGCCGCAGAAGGCGAACCCTGGGACACAGACGGTTTGTTACGTCATCAGATGTTTCAGTTTACAAATTCATTTTCATTTTTACCTTTGGAGAGGTTACGAAAAGTATTTATGAAACGTGAGGCAACATGAGGAAGTGTACCGAAGATGTTTTAAGTCTGTTTTGTGACGCAGAATTAGGATCGTAGATAAAAAGTTCCCAATACTGAGCAGAGCCTTTTGATTTAAAAACTCGAGTGAAGCTAAAATTCAATTCTCATCGAGTTTAATAAATGGCTTGATCTGGCTCTCAAAATTACTTGAAAGCAGATAATTGGCTTTAAAAATATCGATATTTTCTGAATCAGAACTACAACGTGTTAGAATACACTAATTAAAAGTTTTAACGAGATTTAAATTTGATCAAAACAACTCCATTACATTAGTATTTTACTAATTTTGAAGAGTGGGACCGTTATAATTCCCAAGGAGAAATTCTGATGATTTAACTCAATATCATCTTTCCGGAATGCAAGTTACAAGTCATTATAATCCAATGACAATTTCCATCTTCAACACTGACCGAGACTGGACTCAGATTCTCATGAAACTAGTATATGCTCTGGGTTATTTCCAAACATAATCTTTGACTAGTTAGTTAGTTATTGGAGAGGGTGGGTTTCCCCATGCATAGACCTGTATTGGTCCATTGTGCTTCCCTCTATGATATTCTACAAATCTCTATATCCTACCGGTACTGGTGCTTACCATCAGTCCCGCCCAGCCAGCGAGACCGGCTCTACTAGCTGAGAGGTATCTATAATGCTTCCCCCATCTACCAGAGGTATTAGAGAGTGCTGTTGGGCGGGAAACGTCCGTAATTTGGCTCAGTGACCTCCTTTGGAGATATGAGGTTCTTTTACGTGCCGTAAAGCTACGACACGGGACCCACGGCTTAAAGTCCCTCCCGGAGGACTTTTTCCCTGAATTTTTCCGCCCTTAAAAATTCGACGACCTCCGCCGGGTATTTGAACCCGCGTACTACGAGTCATGAGGTGGGAACGTTACCTCTAGACTACGGAGGCCGCTTAATCTTTGACTGACTTTAAATACAGTATATTTGTATCTGGAAGTCCGGTTATATATCTGTGGGCCCTGCATTTGTATAACGCCTCGATACTGTACAATTCATAATGTGAAATAGTTACAAGTATGGCACATGACTTTGTATCGACTGGAAAATTTATGACCAACTATGGCAGATTGTTAGAACAAAGGGCAGTGAAAACAAAAGAGTAATTTCCCTACATATCATATAAATTAAATGGTTGCAATAGGATTTTAGTCTAGACTTGAATTCGTCGATTGCATGAGTGATACTGCACCGGCTGCCTGTGACCATCAGGAGTCACGGAGGATATTCCGAGGAGGGGGGGAAAGTCAAATCCCACAAACATACAGTATTAAAATGAAGTCTTCTGAGAAGTGATGAAGTGCAGTTTGGTAGACATGTGCCGTACTACCATCCACTGCTTTCAACGTTTATCCTCAAGACACAAGCAGCAGGGTCCTAAGGAAAGGGAGGTAAACCATGATCCTAATAATCATCGAAGTAGGAATCTCAAACCTCACAAAGTAATCGCCATTTTCATGGAATTTACATAGTAGAGAGAAGAGGAGCAAAATTTAAAGGTGGGGGTGGGGTGGGGAATGACATATTTTCATAAAGAAAATTACTGTAGTCACTTGTAGTCAGTCTCATCTTTCCAAGCTTTCATCCGACGCCAATTTGATAAAACGACAGGAACAGCTGTTCTTGTCGTTAGGTTGTTAGCCTTACGAGCCGGCCGCGCTTTACTCCCCAGGACAATTATTTAATTAATTACTGGTACTCATTTCTGTTAGAGGCTGAGTCGACCCCCTGGGCCATAATGCGGCTGGAAGGATTAGGTCAATTAAAAAAATCCAATGACCTCATTGGGACTTGAACCCGCGACCTTCCGGCTTGTAGCATAGTGCCTCAAGCAACTACGCTACCGCGTTAAAGCGGTTAAAGCAATAATGACTATTAATTTTTCTACCTGAATTTTGTAACTTTAGCTCGATTGAAATACCCTTCAAGCAGCCCTGATGTATTTTGGAAAGCCCAAAAGGTGACATATAGGTGCACACACAATCCGAAAGACAGAAACTGATCATGTTCCAGTGGAACAAATATTGGCTCTCGTTTCATTGACGAGTATACGAGTTTTCTTTCGTTAGTTTGAAATAACTGCGTTTGTACATCCCGTCTTATGAATCTAATACGTCCGAAAGCTTACATCTGTGGGGACCGCACAAGAGATGGAAGGCTCACTTCTAAATATTACATTACAGCACTGCAAAAAAGGGACAACAGTTGTGAGATAATCAGGTTACAGTTTGCGGTGAAACGATGGCAAGTAGTTCAGTGAATGGATATAAACAGTTTCGGTGAAACGTGCTGTCTTCATCTTCAGCGTGGAAGATATGAGATTGCAGTTAAGTGGTAAGGGCAGGAAACTGAGTACCTTGGCTACCATGGCAGCAGAAGCTTCCTCTAAATCGCTGACACATATCAACCAGCTTACACATCAAACTCTCTCCAACGGTTCGTGTATTACTCTGTTATTCTCTGTTTATCCGTAGCTATGAAACGCGCGCCAATCTCGCAGCTTTCACGCACTTACAACTTTTAGTTATCGTATCCATGGAAATGTACTCCGTAACCGGTTGGTATTCAAGACTCAATCTCTCCGTGGCAACGCTTTCATTTTTACAAGCGTATTCGTTGCCGCGGGACCGTGCTTACCGAACCGTTGTCTAGCAAATGCTCATATTCATCATAATATATGTTGCTATTCTCACTGGCAAGGTATATACTTATAGTCGTCATCTGTGTTGTACCAAATTCCGTAATCGTCCAAAAAGGGCCAATATGGCGTATATACAACCGGGAAAGTAAAGCGAATGTGACACGCGTTTGGAAAGCAACGTATTCAAACCGCACCCCTGGCTGAGATGCATCGTGGATTTAAGCATTATTGGGACAGTATCTTCTAATAGGACACCACAGCTACCATTAACATCCTTTTCCACTTCTCGTTATTTTAGAAACTGCAGAACTTTTGTAACTGTAATGGAGTGAAGAGATATTAGGAGAAATCGAGCAGATCGCCTCAGTGTCAACGAGAACACCTTCTGATAGGATGTTTCCCTGTTCGAGTCTCGAGCAGATGACCGGCTAACATGACTGTGTTTTCACGTGACTGTCTTCAGTTCCTTTTCGTACAAGTCGCGAAAACATTATTAAACGGGTCGCGACACGTTTTTCAGACCTTTCTCTGCTCAACATTCATGATTTTCTCGAGATCTCAGACATAATATCCAGTTTCAAAGCAGCTGTTATATAGCATGAACTGTTATTGCAAATTTTTCTGTTAAACATTCACTCATACAATTAATTTCAAATTAATATCCTTGAGCGTTAGAGAAATACAGAGTAACTCATAAGATCCGACAAGGTACCCATAAATTTAAATCTACCTATCTACCTACCTACCTACCTATCTATAGCTCTACTGCCCTTGTGGACCTTCGTTTATTTTTCACTTTCTTAATCCCCACACAGTCTGTAGGACTCCTTGGATGGGAGATCAGCCTTTTGTAAGGTCGCTAGGTACACACAGAACAACACAATGAATAAACCCGCACAGACATCCATGCCTTGAGTGGGATTCGAATCCACGACGCCAGTGTTCGTGCGGGCGAAGACGGTGCATGTCTTAGACGGCGCGGCCACTGTGATCGGCAATTCTTTGTATAACCAGAAGGTATAATAATATTCCCATAACATTTCTTAGTCACGATACAGGTTTGGCTGGAGCCGTTCAAATTATGTATATGACGGCTCACAAAAACAGGGGGCTCTGATATACAGGGATCTGTAGTCTACTGAGCATATTTCGAGCGCAGAGGCATGGTGGTAAAATGAGGGGTGTTCCGTTAAGGGTCTGAATATGACGCAAACGGACTAGCCTCTTTATAACATACTGAGCTCAATGCGAAGAACTGACAGGATGCTTATGCCGAGAAGATAACATAGCTCTACTATGTAAGTATTGTACTGCATACAGAGGTTGTCAAATAACACAGGGCAATGGGGAGCAGCGCACAGTAACGGTACATATACACACCCGCGGTCTCGAATGTTAAAGCAGGTAAACAGAGAGAACAAGGGATGTGGAAACTAATCCTAAAATCAGCACCCCACAGTTACACGGGGGTAACCAGTAGATAGAGACAGACACAGAGAGAGAAACTAGTATATTTAGCTAAATGCATATAAGAACTTGTCACGCTATTTAAACTCTTAGATATATGAATGATAACCATAAAACGTGCCGGTCACGGTAGCTGAGCGGTCTAAGGCATGCACTGTCTTCCTTCGCTCGGAAGCCGGGATTGTGGGTTCGAATCCCACTCAGGGTATGGATGTTTGTGTGCGTTTTTCTGTGTTTGTGTACAGGTGAGGCCTTGCGACGAGCTGATCACCCGGCCAAGGAGTCCTACCGAATGTCTAAGATCTAGTAAACCGAAGTGAAACGGAGAGTTTCATGGAGGTAGGCCTAGGCCCAAATGATGGCTGTAGCGCCAATGAAGAAACTAACATAAAACGTGGGACAAATTAATGTAAAATAAAATTTGTTCTGGTGTTGTTAAGACGTTTCACACTAATAATATTCCATATGTTTCCACTACAAATTTAGGAATATTATTCAGTACAAGCAGGTGTATATAGGAAATAGTACAATTTTATTTTCTTAAATAAGCAGTAAAAATGGGCAAATATTGCGATCGGGAGAAGAAATTCACCTCGGATTATGACGGATTTATAGGTTTTCAGCCCTCTGATATGATAAACTGGATTTTGCATTGCCGCCTGAATGTCTGTCTCTATACACTTGGATGTGCGCCTCCTTAGCACCTGAAAGTTTGGACGGATTTTACTTAAACTCGATAT